CCATCGCTAGTAGGTTGGAGGCCATTGCTACTAGGTTGGAGGCCATCACTACTAGGGTGGAGGCCATCGCCAGTAGGTTGGAGGCCATCTACTAGGGTGGAGATAGTAGGTTGGAGGCCATTGCTTCTAGGTTGGAAGCCGTCGCTACTAGGGTGGAGGCCATCGCTAGTAGGTTGGAGGCCACCGGAGGCCATCGCTAGTTGGCTGGAGGCCATCTCTATTAGGCCTCCCTCCCTCCCACCCTCCCTCCCTCTCCAGCAAGCGGCCAAGGAGACGGACAGGCCCGTCGCCGAAGCGATGCCCATCACTGGTCCAGCCACCGCATTCAGCGCCGAGACCTGCGTTCGCAGTTCTTTTTGCTTTGGGATTGGTTTTGGTGAAAGCCAGGGGATGATCACTAGGTCGGTGTTCTTTCTATAATTGGATGGCGGTGATCACTTCATATCACCTAATTACACTTAGATAACCAATCCCAATCGTGCTCCTTCATTGTGAATGATCATATAAGTTTGTGCGTTTGGACGCTTGACTTCAGCATCAATTGTGTCTACAAATACAGACATCTCATGCCATCAATAGATCTGGTGGGCCTCATCGCTTCCCTCAGTTTTCGACAACTTCATTGACTTTAGCTTGGAAGTAGGCATCGCTTTCTTGTAATTACTGTAGTTAGCTAGTGAAGGAAGTTTCAACCAAGCATTTGCATGTATGAGCACTAGCACTCAAAGGAGACAAAAGAAATACTTCACTCGAGTTGAAAACAACAGCAAAGCTCAGCTGAAATTAAAACACCTTCGCATACAGCATACAGTCATAAACATTCGCCAAGCTATTGCGGCAACATGGCAATTGGTGGATTTTGGAATGATCGAGGGCATCACTTGGGGTTTTGGTCCTACAGCAGATGACTCCTGCAAAGTTTGGACCCTACATGTAAGAACATCCATGTCACGAGAACATGTGGAATTCCTGTTGAGAACAAGAAGCAAAACATGGAACAAACATGATGTCAAATCAATACACTTGGACAATGTTCATCCTCCATGTTCATCTTGGGAAGCCCGTGGCTTGGCTGGAATTGTGCAAATCCTTAAGGTTGAAGGCGGCTCACATCTTCTGCTCTACATATACATGTATATTATGCATGCGTCTTTGTTAATTACTAGAAGCTTCTTATTACTAGTAGCGATGGCCTCCAACCTACTTGCAATGGCCTCCACCTAATAGCGTCCTTGTTACTACAGTAGTATATAATTGTATATCTTCTTTTCCTTCATGGAGTTGCGGACAAAATTGCAAACGTCCCCCCCTCCTGCGTTCCCATGGTCGCCACGGTCGCACCGAGGCCAGCCACTTGGCTGCTAAGGGCAGTGACCTCCAGGAACACACGTGATCCGTTATTTGATGCCAAACCAATAGACACCAATAGAGGGCTCAAAACATCTCAAATATGATCAAAGCAATAAAAGCCCACCCCAAGCAGTTCCATCAACTGGGTGGACCGATAATCCACCGGCTTCGGGGCTGTGCCTGCCCACCCACAGCCGCCACGGAGGCAGACATCTGCCCCATGGAAGCCGTGCTGGCAAGGCCACCAAATTCACCTGAGTTGGGTGTGGATGGTGAAAGGAACAGAACTAACAAAAACAACATGAACGATGGCCTCCAACCTACTAGCGATGGCCTCCAACGTATAAAGCAACAGAACACTTCTGACGCACCTTGGGCAAATATCTTACTGCAACACTTCTTGAAGAATTCATGCATGATTAACATGTCAAACAGTGTGGGGCCTGAAAGATTCAAGATCTCCGAGAATAGTAATCAGTGTCACAAGTTCGATCACCGTCTCTGCTGTCGATTCAACTCGTTGATCCCTTTGATTTCTCGTGAGACTGAAACATGAACCCTACGTTGCACTGCACATCTTGCAGCTAAAGGTACCAATGGCTTGAACAGCACCAGCGGCCCAGTCAAAGATTCTTTCTCCACCCCTGTGCTGCCGACACTCCAATCCAGAATCTCTGAGGACATTTGCGGAGTGAGCAAAGGAATAGAGGGTTTGGATGGGTTTTCACGTCTCTGGAGATTCTTTACTAGGGGCTCCTGGCCGTACTACTAGGAGCAAGGACGCTACTAGGGGCTCCTGGCCGTACTACTAGTAACCATAAAGCTACTTTTTTTCAACATCTATGAGACTCTTCTGTTTTTCCAGAGATGTCTACAGTGAAAACTTGATCCACCCAATAACAAATGGCCCCTGTATACCTTGATTCCTCACAAATGGCCCGAAATGGCCTACCATAGCTGGCGAGTGCGTCCTGAGCCGTCAAGAAGCAACGGCGCAATGCAATTTCAATTTCAGCTCTGTGGGCAGAATTTTGCACATAGAGCAGGCTGAATAGCTGCTGTAGAGGTTGTTCAAATTGCATGAAACTGCCACATAGTGATATGATGTGACATCATTAAGCGTGTAAAGACATGCCCGGCGTCGCTTTTTTAGGTCTCTAGTTCCTTTTTCCTTCATGGATGAAACAGTACTTTCTAGGTCTTCCCTTCTGATCGGCTTTTGTAACCTTCTTCCCCGTTGCTCTCAACAATGTTCTCTCCTCGGAAGCGGCAATTTCTAGACAATTCGAAGTGGCGATGAGCGCAGTAAAAAACACATTCTCCCCAAGTATGGGATGTCATGGTGCCAAGGGAATTGATCACGTTTTGCGCATGTGGCCACCCAACCCAGAAAGTCTGTTTGGTCAAGGCTACAAGAGTACAGTACTAGGTTCATCTCGGTAGAAAGGGTAAGCTTTCCTAAGAACCAGCCCTCAATGGCCTGTAGCGAAGAACTGCCCTCGACCAGCTGCCAATGGACTCCTTGCTGCCTTGCTAGGCAGAAAACAAATTGAAACGATCTTTTTTGGAACTTGAATTCATGTGACACATTTGAACACATTCTAACATTTGTGGTGTGGACCTTCAAAAGCAACGAGCATAAACTAGTTGATTGGAGTGATGTGTTGTTGCTGCAGACCCATCGCCCTTCTCGCCTTTTGGAAGAGTACCGTGGCCGCTCACCATGAACGAAGCTCAAGACAAGCCTTAGGATCAGGCAGCTATTTGGCCCTCTTCGCCTGGAAACGCTTCACCTGGAGTGAAAGGAGGGTAACACGCCCATTGCTCACACCAAGTGCTGTCGAGCGTCAAAAGTAGCCGCACTTGCATCAGGCGCAGAGGTTCAATTTGAGGCTCCCACAAAGGGTTTGATGGGAAGTGGGGGATACAGTATGGAGTATCTTTGCATTTTCACCAGTCTCAAACCTTGACGGAGTATCTTTGTCAGACAACTGAGCCAAAGTTGCAAACATGCAACTGGTGCCTCTTCTACCACTTTCCAAGGCTCGCTGCTTCTGAAGCTAAGCACTAATCACTAGCAATGTGCTGTCGGGGGCAACAGAACCTTCCTCTTTTGCAACGGGCATTCTGCAGAGTTTAGAGGTAAGACGCCTTTGCCGTCTTGACACGCGAAGTTCGAAGCGCTCATGAACACTTCTGTTGAGAACACTACTTCGTTGGTTCGCCATTGGCGAATGCAGCCAGTCTTCGGGCGGCATTCGTTCGCCTGGAAGGACCAACCAACCTTCCAGTTGAAGATTTGCGGATCCTTCTGTACAGTCAGACTTGGAGTCATCTTAAGTCATCTGAGAGTTTAAGAAATGGTTTTGTTCAGGCAGGCAAGAAGAACTCCCAAATGGAGTTTTCCTTTTGAGATGCCTTTCACGGCTCCGGCATGTGAGAGCATCCGTCAAGTCAAGACCTGAAGCATACTACCTACCTCCTTTGGGCACGTGGCCCAACTAAACAGTTCTTGGCCGAACAGGCTGGCGCAGCCCTTGCCGTCACCTTCTTTCGCATTGGGTTTCAGCGGATGGCCTCCCGGATGGCCGGTTCGTCGGAAACACCCGTGAAACCCGTTGATCGTATTGAACCCGCTACTAGGGGCTCCTGGCATCGCTACGAACGGAGCGATCGGACGCTACGAACGGGGCTCCTGGCCTTACTACTCGGAGCAATGTTCGCTACTAGGAGCAAAGGGCATCGCTACTAGGAACAAGAAACTACTCCATGGATCACCTGACTGGAGTGACTGGAGACGCACAGTCTTGAAGTGGTCACCCTCACCACGAAGGACGCTGCAACCAGGAGCACCCCCCCCAACAACCAATGGATTGCAAATTGAAAACACAAAAGAAAACTGAATGCAGCCATTTACAGTAAACCAGTGCTGAAACCTCTCTTCACCTTCCAACCCTATTCCGTTGCCTGTTCGCGTGCCTCCGTCTTCGAGCTCCAAGGCATTGCACTGAGCAAGGACGCAGGAGCAGAACAGCGGAGCTACCAGTTTCTAAATGACCCAAAAACCTCATTGAACAGGACGAATTGGCACATAACGACTTTCAAAAACTCAACTCGTCTGATCCATGTAGCCATGCAAACAATGGTGGATGAATTTGGCACCAAAGTCAAGCTTGCCTGGTCCTTCTTAAACAAGGCAAAACAAAGCTGTGGTGGAGACTGCGGCAGTTGCTTTACCTCTTCTGGTCCAGTCCAAGAACCTTACAATACGTTTCCAAGAAAATATGCGCACCATTTACACCAGTTGAAACAAATCCCGATGGAATCAATATATACTTCAAGAACCCTAAAGTTTACGCTTCTTACTCTGTTCCAACATGACACTTGCAGTCTACAGCGGATCGGATTGACACGTCCATTTTGCCTGGCAGGTGCAGCACGGTCAGATTTCCACACCCGTTTAGATTTGTAATACTTATAAGGCTTTCAGGTGTGGAAATCTGACCGCAACTTAGGCGTCGACATGTTGCACGTACGATTCTAAGGGGAGAGGGTTCGGTTGTCGCGTTTTAGAAGTCAAGAAACGCAACTTTCGCGTTGTTACTAGGTATTAGCCTTGTGTTTAAAACTAATAATGAAGCATGTTGTTAGGTTCGACATAAACGTTGTCCTGCTATAAAGTTAAGAACAAATATTGGAATATCATACATAATTACAGATGTACATTTCCAGCACTTTTTGAAAAACACAAGAGGCACCCTGCGTTGTTACTAGGTATTAGCCTTGTGTTTAAACCTAATACTGAAGCATGTTGTTAGGTTCGACATAAACGTTGTCCTGCTATAAAGTTAAGAACACATATTGGAATATCATACATACTTGCACATGTACATTTCCAGCACCTTCTGAAAAACAGAAAAGGCACACTTCAAGAACCCTAAAGTTTACGCTTCTTACTCTGTGACACTTGCAGTCTACAGCGGATCGGATTGACACGTCCATTTTGCCTGGCAGGTACAGCACGGTCAGATTTCCACACCCGTTTAAATTGAGGGTGGGTGTGCTTGGGAGAGCACACACTAGCTCAAAACCCTTAGAAAACACTGTAAATACCGTGCAAAATTTCAAAAACTGCTCTGAGAACTAGGCGAAACGCAATTTTTTGGATCTGTCTGTGCCCAGTCTCCATGTCCAATGTCAATGACAACAAATAACAGCTCTTCGTCTGCCCACTATCAATGTGCAACACCAATGATTAATATTATCATGTAAATCTCTCTCTGCCCACAATGAATGTAGCATCATGAGCGAATGAAGATATAATACTATACATCTCTAGATTCAATAGCTTTCCTCTGGATCTCTGGGAAAGTAGATCTCCTAGATTTGTGTATTTTCATTGAAGGAAAGCATTTGAAAGAAACACTTACATACATACTTATAGCTTTTTTAAACAGAAAACGACGTTATGCGGGTGTGGTTTTTACGCGTTTTTGTGATTTGTGGTTTTCTGTGTTTTTTGAAAATGTTAGTTGTTTTGAAGAACGTGTCTAGCAAAAATGTCGACTTGTAATCTATCAAATTTCTCATCAATCTGATTCAAACATACTAGTTCTCATTGATTCCCACACAGAAGTCCATCAAGCATCATCTATCAGCAAGTCCACGACATCCCATCATACAACATCAGGACAACACCTCTATGAGGGAGATCTGGTCTCTAAGACCTCCAATCTCAATCAATCCTCAATCTCCAGCAACTGGGGCCTGGGCCTGGGCTTCTCTAGGGGGGGGGGGGCAAAAAAAAAAAAAATTTTCCCAATTCCGGGGGCAATTTTTTTTTGCGCGCCCCCCCCCCCAGGACTCATTGTCAATTCCACGAGCTGGAAGTGGCCCCAGGTGCTAGAGATAGTCAAGATTATTGATTTCATCATAGCTACCTGTGTAGGAGTAGCAATTCCACCACAACTTCTTATATTCCCCTCGTCTGTTTGAAGACACAACTGTCTGCTCCTGCAAGCACTTGTATATACTGTAGGCTCTACGTGGTGAGGGTGGATACCTATACTGTATGGTCTCAATGATGGAGTGTGGAAGATTGTCTTGATTTGATGGCTTAAGATATCCAATGAAAGAGAGAGATGGGCATATAGCTAGAGAGCATAGGAAAATGGAACTTCCAATGTGGATGAAATGAGATGAGATGAGATGAGATGAGATGAGATGAAGCATTGGGTGCATCATTCCATGTGTGGGCAAGAAGGTTAGGGTGAAGAGAAGGTAGCCTTGGGAATGAGTAGTGGCCACACAGCCAATTCAGACCCTCAGTGTATCTAAGGCTGGATCATTCCATGGGCTTCATAAGATTCTTTGGAAGATTTCGTCATAGATGGGGGGATATGGAGCATAGATCTGAAGAGCCATTGGGTGAGAGCAGTGGAGATGAGCAGGATTGGTCCAATCGAACTTGTGGGATAGGATGTGAGCTCCCAAGTGACCCTGAGAATGAGGATGAGGCTTATTATGGGTATGGACGTCAAGAAGGCCATGCAAAACCCAATTCCAATCAGTGATCCAGGTCCAGTACTACTAAGCAAGTTTCTCAACTTTTGTTGGGCGTGGTGGGCACATTGTGTTTCAAGATAATGATCTTCTCTCCATTTCATAAAAGAATGTGGAGGGAGAAGCCCATTTCATAAAGAATGTGGAGGGAGGGAGAAGCCCAAAAAGTGCTACCTTTGAAACAATCAGAATGCTTATGGGCAAGGAAGGGTAGAGTTGGATCCAGAGGTTTTTAAAACAAGAAAAGTTGGTTTTGTTTAGGAAACAGGAGCGCAAGAACATATCTAGACTATGACCATGGAAACTCTGACTAAACAGGACAAAATCTAAGAAAAACACCACAAAAGCACGTAAAAACCACACCCGCATAACGTCGAGCTCTCTTTTTAAAATACCATGACTATTTCCAGAGATCCAGAGGAAAGCTTTTGAAATGAAAGCTTTATATTTTTCACAGAAGTGATCAGATCTAGAGGGAACCTTTTGAATTAGAAGTTTGTACATAAAGCAGTTTTAATATAGCAATGAATATTCCAAGGGATTACTTTAAACAAATACTATCTACTCAAAAACATAGTTTGTGTCTTATTCCCAGCACTCCTAGGGCAAAAAACACTGTAAAATATAGGGTTTTGTAACATGTGTGTTCTTAAACTAACTAAACTGGAATTAAAATAGAATTAGGCAAACTCAAATTAGAAGATTTCAATCACGATCCTTTTAACATTGATTGTGGAATTTGCTATTTATTAGATATTAGATTGCAATAAAAATCATTTCCAAGTTCTCTTTAAAACTCATTGTGGAAACTAGTTCTTACAATTAGATTTTAGTCAAAGTCCTTTTCAAAGTTAGTGGTGGCTTTGATTTAATATCAGATTGTGTTTAAAGTCGATTTAAGACCAATTGTGGAAATTGTGATGCTTAACTAACTTGAATTGATTTTGTATCTGTTTGCTCCCCACTACAAGGCTACATCAAATAAAAGGACTTTAACTAACATCTAATTATAAGAATTGATTTCCACCATTAACTATTAACTGAAAGTTATTTTTCACAATCAATTCTAAAAGGGTCTTGATTGATATCCAACACACAAGCAATTCAATCAAATTATGTTGAAAAGAACTCAAATTAAAATCTGAACAACAAGCAATTTCCACAATGATTTTGAAAAGGACATTATTGACATTTAAGTAATGCCTAATTTCTAGAATGAAATATAATAGGATTTTAATTGAAATCTAATTCAAAATCAATTGCCACAATGATCTTGAAAAGGCATTTAATCGAAGTTGAATTACACATTCATTTTTCTATGATTAATCTTGAAGAAAT